TTAATAGATCGTCATTCGCAAATGTAAAGTCATCTTTAGGTCATTTTTTAGTAAATGTTGTGAATTCAAGATACATAGTAATATATATGTTATAGGAATATGATTAACTGTCCTGAAGAAGTTTGCATTGTGAAAAAAAGTTTACAATAAACTGACTGATGAGAAGTTGGTAAACATTATGTAGGTAACAAAGGTTGTCTCGCATGTGTGATCACTTGATAACGTTAATGTGTACTACCTGTGTCAGTAGATTTCTTACTTTCTTACCATTGTCTTTAACGTACAATTTTACTGATATGACCTAATGTTGTAGCTCCCATTTATTAGTTTACTTCATTCATTTAGCTATATATGAATCACCATTAGTCTTTGATCTTTTTTGTGTATCATCTGTATCAATGTTTTAACATGTAGAATGCATACAAGATCAACCAGATATGATAAAAAACACATTTTGTCAACATTTTTGAGTATAGTAAGCTAACAGTGATAAGAATGTTTACAATTGTTTATAAGTGACACATGTTTGTTTAATTGAAAACAGTTAGAGCGGAACTTGAATGTGTTTCAATAGTGCTATATACAGGTATACACAACCTTGATGAAGGTAGGACGTGTCACAAGATCAAAATTAGCATTACCCTTGGCTATCTGAAACAATAATTTGCATCGGTAATCAGTGTGAAATTTAAGTTCCAACGATATCTTTTGATAAAAAATAAAGAAATTTCAAAATGTTCAACATGCTGTTTTTCATACTTGGTAATTATAGAAATCCGGTGGCAATATTACACTGCTTTACATTTCTTTCAATAACGGTGCAAAAGGGGTATCGATGCATTGATGGTATCTGTCACACGCAATATATCTGCCAAAAACTATATTGGTCATAGAGAAAGCCTGTATCGCCGAGATCTATTGTAGCCAAGAGGTAATGGAAAATATTTGCCATTGACCATATTCATCATAATCAAATTAAGTACAGACTATATACATTTACTTACACTCTATACAGGTAGTGATAAGAACCTATCTAATGATTAAGCGGATATTGGTTGACACTGGATTTCTGACAAATTGCTAAACACATTCGTTAACAGAACTATACAGATGTTTTATTTACTATATAAACTCATTTAAATATAAGGGAAGGTAACTCCAACATACATGTAACATATATATACATTCGTCTCTTAGGTGTATATGGCTATTACATAATATCAATTTGTTTGCGATCTTTTAGTTCAATGGTTATACACACATGTAAACTCATGTATGTCCAGCGTAAAATTCCAACGCGATAATATAAATATTACCGCCGAGTGTATATGTACAGCGCGGTGTGTTTCATAATGGTAACATCTAGTAGGTAGGTTTATGTACTACAAGGAATTTGCATTCAATGCGTTTATTCATTTGAACAGTAGTCGGGTTCAGAATATGCATCTGTGACATTCTTTTGATATCATTAAATATTTAAAACTATGAAAGTCATTTTAGACCGATTTGGATTTTCTTTGATTTTCTGAGAAGTTTCCATTCTTTACAGAATCAGCCAATTACAATCTCCAGAAACATTAGGCCGAAATAGTTGTGTGCATTATGTGGTTCAACTGTATCTAATTCCAAATTTGTATTGAAATATTCAAATTACTTTTGTATGATATTAGGCTTAACTCGGTTCTCAGGCGTTTAAATAATGTATTATTAAATCGATTTGTTGATACACGGAATGTTTTCCATTTTGAAGTTGTCTTATTGAACATTTATTAACGTAAAAAGCATATCTTCCCTAGTTAGCCTAATATATCGTGTGGCTTATTATTAATTGTATCTGTAAATAAACCATGCGACAAGTCTGCTTGGTGATATCTATACTTTCTAGTCAATGTCTTCCTCAATGTACCGTGTCTTGTTAAGGGACTTTAAGTACCATATTACCGGTTAAGTTAGTGAACGCTTTAGTAACACGATATATAAAAGCTGAAAAAAAGTCCTTCACCGATACACAATTTTTAGAAAATATATAGGCACTGACAAATAAGACAGTGTGTTCAAACATGGGGAACACCTGATTCATGGAAGACTCGCGTGAGAAGATAGAACGAGATCAGGAGGCACAGGAAATAACCAATTATTCTATCAACGAATTTTCTTTCTATGAAATGATAATGATGACAATAAAATCTGTTGCAGAAACGATAAAAGATTGGTGGGTGTGTCTGTTCAGATTTTCCTCACCAGAGCATAACCTGTGTGCCTCCAGATATTTAAAAAAATAATTGAATGTTACAAAGTGATCTTCAAAACGTTGTTACCCTTTTGGTGGTAAGCATAAACAGTATGCAGATCTAAGAATTAATCTTAATGTATGGTCATTCTAGCTTAGGTGTCTGAAATTAAGAATTGTACAAGTAAAATATCAATGAATGGCAAAAAATAGATTTTAAAAAATATAAATGTATTACACAGTCTTTACACATAACGTGCGAAAACAACAATTCAAATGCATCCCTGAATTTCTGAATATCTGGAACAAAGTAGGTTCAGTTTCTTTGTTTGATGACTCGATCACTGTAGGTACCATTTTCTTTTTCTTTAAGTCTCGAACAAACTAGGTATAGTTTTAACAAGGTACATGTAGGTATAGCTTCATTTTTAGATATCTCGATCATCACTGTAAGTACAGTTTCTTCTTGATTTCTCGATAATCACTGTAGGTATAGTTTTTTCTTGATATCTCGATCATCACTGTAGGTATAGTTTTTTCTTGATATCTCGATCATCACTGTAGGTATAGTTTTTTCTTGATATCTCGATCATCACTGTAGGTACAGTTTCTTCTTGATATCTCGATAATCACTGTAGGTATAGTTTTTTCTTGATATCTCGATCATCACTGTAGGTATAGTTTTATCTTGATATCTCGATCATCACTGTAGGTATAGTTTTTTCTTGATATCTCGATCATCACTGTAGGTATAGTTTTTTCTTGATATCTCGATCATCACTGTAGGTACAGTTTCTTCTTGATATCTCGATAATCACTGTAGGTATAGTTTTTTCTTGATATCTCGATCATCACTGTAGGTATAGTTTTTTCTTGATATCTCGATCATCACTGTAGGTACAGTTTCTTCTTGATATCTCGATCATCACTGTAGGTATAGTTTTTTCTTGATATCTCGATCATCACTGTAGGTATAGTTTTTTCTTGATTTCTCGATAATCACTGTAGGTATAGTTTTTTCTTGATATCTCGATCATCACTGTAGGTACAGTTTCTTCTTGATTTCTCGATAATCACTGTAGGTATAGTTTTTTCTTGATATCTCGATCATCACTGTAGGTATAGTTTTTTCTTGATTTCTCGATAATCACTGTAGGTATAGTTTTTTCTTGATATCTCGATCATCACTGTAGGTATAGTTTTTTCTTGATATCTCGATCATCACTGTAGGTATAGTTTTTTCTTGATTTCTCGATAATCACTGTAGGTATAGTTTTTTCTTGATATCTCGATCATCACTGTAGGTATAGTTTTTTTCTGAATGTCTCGCATAAAGGTAATTTTTTCTCGATGTCTTCATAATCACTGTAGGTACAGCTTTCGTTTTCTTTATTACTTTTTTTATATAAATCATTACAGTGTGTTGTTATTGTGCTTTTAACTGCATACCACATGGTACTTTATTTGATATAATTTTCTATCAAAGCCTTTTAACTAATATAAAAATGCAAAACTTTGCAAAGATATGTTCCCCATCACACTATTTTAGAAGTGACAAAAGGTCTTTATTAATAATGACTGGTACATTAGATGGAAAGGACATCGTATCTATTTGTATTTTCTTGAACTTCTTGTTATTAATTAAACTACTTATTTTACAACAATTACGAAACAAGTTATTTCAAATCATATTAATCACTCTTGTTGATGGAAGCACGCGAGTGAGTTACCACTACGCCATATGATAATCTTCATTGTACATCAAATGTATTAGGTTTAGAAAACGTTTCTTAATGGGATATTACATAAAACCTACTTGCAAAATATGACGTTAAATTCAAAGGGGAAAACTTTAAAGTCTATGACAAAGCATTAATAGAAGTTATTAAAATTTAAGACAGGTGTAACGTGGAGAAGTATAGTCCCCAGTGTCGGTCCATGATATGTTATGGCAGCTATGTCTGATAACGGTAGGATTACATGCAATTTCGTTATCTTTGACGACGCCCACATATACACATATATCAGATCACTTCGACTTAGTAAGACAAACTATTTACAATAAAAAGAGACAAAACAAGCTCGGTATACAATACAGGTATAAAAGGCAATGCGTGTGCTATACTCATGGTCCACCGTTCCATTATATTCCACAAAAAGGCATATGCGTGTTTGAAATGATTGCAATTCAATGGATTTATTTTTTGTCTGTGTTTAAACATCGACCCTGACCAGACCGAGTAAAGCAAGTTATGATTGGCAGGCCCGACCACATACACCCGTAACTTCTCGAACAGCTAGTTATGTGCATGTTGAGTTTGGTTGTTCAAAATAGGTCAGAAGTGTAATTAGTTAGAGATATATGACAACGTCAACGTAAACAGAACTGTGTTGTCGTAAAATCAATCAGGAGCTATTGGATTAAGGACGTTTAGGACTCTGTAAAGGTGTAGTATCTATTTTGCTTATTTTGAAAACGTACTTTAGGGCAAATTAAATTAAGTTTGACTTTTATAAATTTTTAAAAATGAATAATTTAACATGTAAATTAGAACTATGTAGAGGAAATAACCTTCAAGAAATCTGTTATGGTAACCATTTGTGAAATTGATATGCGCTATAGCTTTTCACCTTGTGTACAATAACGGTTTATAAAGGAATGTTTAATGGATTACCTGATTCTAACATACAAAGAAGCAGCGTATGAAAGATAAAATTGAGTCGAATTTTATCAATAGTATAGGTGGGCTGCCGTTTTATGTGAGTAGCGAGGTCACTAGCCTACATTGATGTCCCCTGACCAGCCTTTGTGACACTGCTGACACCGTCCGTTACAGGGTGATACTGGTAAACACACACATAATGGCCAAATGGAGTCACCTACTGACAGGATTAATGTCAATATCTTATATAGCCACTGCAACAGGTAAGATTTGTCGTAAATTGTTACATTTTGTTAGGTTTATATATGAAATATATTGTTAAACAAATACCGATGACGTTTTCGATTCTCGACTTCAAATTGTTGTCACTAAAACTCTCCATTAAATGTTTATGTTAAATTCTGATCATCAGTATACTGTAAGAATGAAATTGTAACTTATTCCATAAGGAAATTGGATACACATATATATGACACAGATTAATATTGTAGGTTTACAAGTATGTATTTACATACCTTGTTTATTCCTTTTTATAATGACATACTCATATTATATTTGTATTAAAATAACTATCAATACCTATGATACGTCCTGTTTTTGGTAAGGTATCATGGTGACGTGACAACAATAAAAGTAAAACATATATAAATAATGAAATATCACAATAGTTACACTGAAATACTAAACTTTGTTTCTAATGGGTGTATCTAACCGAAATAATAGTTGTATGTAAAATTCATCAAACCAACACACATGGATATACCTTCAGACAAAATAATTTATTTCAGACACAAAAACTTAACTAAAAAGATTTTATTTGTACATGTGTATTTAACAACTGATTTTTTTTCTGATAGCCCAAACATGTCAGTCATCACCACTAACATTGCCGGCGACTGAAGAGCTTCAGACTCTTACGTCACCCAGCTACCCTTCGTCCTACCCTCCGTAAGTATAAAAGGTTTACTCTGTTCGAAACTCATTTAGATTTACGCTTAAAACTTCTCATACTACAGGATGTACATTTATTAGCCAATTTTGGAATGGGGATTTATTTCTTTCAATTTATCAACGGTTGGGAAGTAAGAGCTGTTATTACAGACGAGTCTGTTTTTTAAATGTTTCCTTCTAATTGATTAGATAAAACAATGACCATGTGACAATATAAAATGAGTGATAAGGTAGGACAATATTAAAAAAAGGTTGTGATATAAAAATATCTTCCCTGCATACGTAGTATATTTAAATATTTTGTAATAATGGTGACGTTATAGCCTGCAGTTTTTTTCTTTGTATATTGAAAGGAGGACATTGATGAAATATCTGCTTGCTGATTCAGCAATTAGTTAATAATGAAGTGCATCCTAATCAAAGTAATCAAAATGTGCTAAAGTTTACCGACATATTTAAGCAACGGTCCGAGAATTCATTATCATTTTATGAGAAAGAAGATATCTTGAAGTTTGACAAAATATTTATTTGATTTGCGTGCTATCATTTATTAGTGGACATCAACGGTATGGTAAAGTCTAAATTAAGTACATACTGCATTTAACTTTAACACAATATCTAATGTCTTTTCTTGTGCCATTCTCTCAATCACATTAATAAGAGATTCGATTTCTTGATTTTACTGATACATGTACTACCTTGTCAATTTATGACATTATCAGAAGCATTGTTCTTTGTAATTATTATTACCGTAATTTTTTCTTTGAAGGATATATAGAAATTTGCACGGATTTCTTCTTAATATCACGAAATTGAAATCGGGTTACAAGACGCATTGTCTTTGTATCTTATCGTTAGTAGAAGAATCAAAACGAGATTTGATTCTTATGTAAACGATAATATGCAATTTCTTCTCAATATCAACAAATCTCATCAATCTTAATATTTGTGATATATAAACACTGTAAGTATTGACTTATTTTTATATAAAATATAGAATATTTGCTTAGTTTTTCCTGATGCTCCTTTAAAGTATCCATCACTCCCCACAAAAAGTGGTTATCACATATCACATTATCCATTCGTAGATCTAGGAATTGTAAGTGGTGGCTTGATGCTGGAGATGCTGATCACTTGGTGTTTATAGACATAACAGCACACTCGATAGAGTTTGCCCCAGGATGTTCGTATGATGGACTCTTTGTCTATGACGGTAGGTTACTTTCGTGCAAATTTAACTTTTTATTGCTTTGATAATGATAAGACTCTTCGTGCACGCGCTCGATTTTGATCTTTCAATTTTGGTGAAAGGTCTTTTGGATCTTTAAAAAAACGAATAACTATTATAACTATTTGGATTAAAGTATAATGCAGAGATTACTTAATGTACGTTTGCTATTTCCATGGATGAAATAAATTCGGTAAAAATATACCTTGCAAATTATATTATGCAAAAAATAACACTTTTACTGATTTTATGAAAAACACCCCTTAGCTGCAAATTTCCGTTAGTCAATGATAATCTTAAGTTAATTTACACCTCTCATTTGTATTTTCATTATGCATACTTTATTTCTATGTGATACAAACATTACTGTTATACATCCTTGATATGCCTATAGAACGTCAATTTGTCTTAAATATGATGTTCATCAAACTTTGTAGGACAACAAACAAGATTGTTGAAGGCAGTATGTGGATCAAAAACTCATAGAGCCATCGACTTGTACAGATCTACTGGTCAGTACGCTACGATTTGGTTTCGTTCCGACTCCAGTGTCCAGCTTCAGGGCGCCACACTTCGATACTTCAGATACCCGACATCCATTAGCAGTAAGTTAAACTTTCTGTCAGACTGAAGTAGATAATAGTAATTTTTTTTTCATATCAAAGTTTCATGTATACAGCAAAGCTTAGTCAATGTTTAACATGACTTTGTTAGTAAATCCTATTCATTATGATATATTTGTTTTCTTGTTTATGCGTTCGTATTTATTATTCTAGTTCTAATTTTATTACTGCAGTTTATATTATGTATATAGTAAATGTATGACACAATGCAACCAACCGTATCACGTCTTTTGTTTCAGGTGTATGTCCAACAAACATGGCCCTGAACGCGACTACTGAAATACAATACCTGTACTCCCCGGGATTTCCACAACTACAAGACGTGTAATTATGTATATTTAACACACTATGAATATCCTGTAATAATTGGTTATATAATCGGAAAATTCATTACGGATATATATCATAATTGAAGAATGTAACAAAATGTTCCAATGAATGTACAAAGGATACAAGATGTGACAGAATCTGATATCATCAAGTGATTAGCACCTTTTGTTACTAACTTAGAGTTAGATACAGTTAAGCCAAATGATGACTTAAATTGCATCACACAACTGATTCCTCCTTCTAGGACTCTCGTCAGTGATGCATCCATTAAAAGAATTCATATCTACAATATTGATGTTTTAGTGATGCACAGTGCTCCTGGCTCATCACTGCAGTATCGCCAACAGATGATATTATCCTAGAAGTACTATACTCAAACATGGTGTCAGGGGAAGTGTGTTTCACAGACATACTCCGGATTTACGACGGTGAGTATATAGAACCAACGTGGTGTCATGGTAAGTGTGTTACACAAATATACTCCATATCTTCGACGGTGAGTATAGATCCAATATGGTGTCAAGGGAAGTGTTTACATAGATATACTTCCTATCTTCGACGGTGAGTATAGAACCAACGTGGTATCAAGGGAAGTGTTTACACATATGTACTTCCTGCGGAAAAATTCTGCATGACATATGCTAATGAAAATGCAAAATATCTTTTTAACTGTTAAGATGGAGATAGCCGAAGATTGTCATCTGAGTTTTATAAAGACATTTGATAAGAAACATTAGTCAATTGTATTTAATATGTATAACAAGTTATTCATTCAATAAGTGGTCCGAAGGTATGGAAATCCGCAAAGTCGAATATTGATTTATAACATTACAAGAGTATGCCATAATATAATGGTTTCGGTATTATTTTTCTATGTAAGTTACGTTTGACATGTGGATAATGTATTACATATTACACAGGTATACATAGTACACAGGCAGCCATTTTTTCTACGGTAATTTAATACAATCCAATATAATCCAATTTCTTTGCTTTTCAGGCGCGGATGACACAGCACCAGAATTGGCAGAGGTCTGTTCCGACAAGGTGAACTTCGTCAGTGTCATTGTCATATCTTCAGCAGATAAAATGTTCCTAAAACTTTCCACCACCTTTGCCCTTACTTCTCGAACTGGGTTTGCTGTGTCGTACAACTCTACATTTAGGGGTAAGTTCATCCATATTTATACAAATGACCATTAAAACCCTTTACAACGCTTTCGTACCAAAACGAAATGCCGATTTTTATAGGAATTGTAAAAATGAATAACACCTTTCATTACTTATTAAGACTAAAATAGTCCAGAGCATGTTAACATTCTGCATGAATTACCTCTCCGTCTAGATTTTGACTTTTCTTTTGATTACTTTGGATTTTACTTCGCCAAGACTTCAAATTTTACACCCTTAGTATCACTGACGAGTCCTTGAAAGACGAAACAGATGTATGGTGTAGTTAAGTTCATTATTTGGCTATACTGTATCTCACTCTAAATCATGAAAAGGTGTTAATTACTAATGTGTCTTTTGTACAATATTTGACAAAAAAGTAAAAGAGGTAAATACATATCCGTGGAGTGTCTTCATAGAATAAAATTTATACCATTAGTCACGATAGAATATTTATTCTTTTTTAACTTGATACATCGCTTTAATGTACATACACATTCAATAAAATACTACATATATAAAAGAAATTGTTCGTCACCGTTGTAGTGCTTATAATAATATTCTAAAAATCCACAATACCTCAGAATACATCGATGCTTTGCATTGTTGACAGGTCGGACATTGGCTGCTACTACTACCGTACCGTCCATCCCGACCTACTCAGTGTGTAGCGAAGATCGGGTTTCAGCCTCTTCCTCCCTAACGCAAGTCACCTCACCAAATTATCCGAACCTTTATGGAAAGTAAGTTTTACTTCATACTATGTATTAAAAATACAACTTAAACTCTAAATTATCTAACTTCAGTTGAAAAGCCTACTTGTAATTAGCATCCAATTCACAATCACATTTGTTGTAAGTTTAAATCTTTTAGAATACATGTCAGATTTTGATACATACTGTCAATATCCTTCGTTCTTCATGATTAACCTTTTTCGTGTATTTTATGAAGTTTCCTGAACTGTTACCTGGTCATCGAGGCACCGGCAGGCGAGCAGATTCATCTAAATCTTGTCGACTCTTCAATTCAGAGCAGTATTGGCTGCTCGAACGATGGATTGGCTATTTATGATGGTAAATCTCCAATTTATCTTTTACGATACTTATCATAAGTAATACGAATTAATTGTGTACACATGCGTAAAAATCAGCATATGGAACGGGAATATATTTGAAAGGCCATTAATCGCAGTATACACTTACAGACCTTTGCATAGATTCAACTTTAAAAAACAATTAGATGTACTTCTTTGCGTATGTCTGCAGTTGTATGTTACGTTAACCATTAAAAAGAATTTCAAAATTTCAAGATTTTATCATATCACTGCAAAGTTTGTGGCATGGATTTAAACACATCAATGACAAGTACTATCTGAAAACTTTGTCTGAACTAAAATTATTAAAAGTTTGTGAAAACTTTTAACATCAGTGGTTGTTTATAGGTCCATCGTCTAGTTCGGTACGGCTAGGCTTGTTTTGTGGTGAGGATTTGTCTGCAAGTATCAACAGTTCAGGTTCCAGTCTCACCTTATTTTTCTACGGGGATGGCTCTAGTACAAACAGAGGATTCAAGGTGCAATTCACCTCAGCGCCTCACGGTAAGTTGTATCTTTCTTAAAGACAATATGGCACATGCCATATTATTGCCGCTGACCAGGCAAGGGACTTTTTCTCTACACTTAACACACTTGCCATATCTGATATGAAACTTCGTGCCAAAAATTACAATACTAGATGATATAGAGGAAATGAAATCAACAAAAGTACGTTTGAGATTTTGATTTCGAGAGAAAAGATAATTTAAATTGTTCTGTTAAGCCTTTACAAACTTGTGCACTAAAACATGATACGTTATGCTTATGTTCACGTGTTTTACAGAGCTCCCTAGTTGTATTGACTCAAGTGTCAACATCATGTATCTCAACGCGACGTCAACTGTTCAGTACATCACTTCTCCCAACTATCCGGCGGATTACAATTTGTAAGTTATAAATAATTATTTCTGTTTGATCCATTGCTTTTATTTTTCATTGTCATTCTGTTTTTCTATTAGTCAGAAAGGACACATGTGACAAAGTATAAAAAGTCGTATAACATACTACAAGAACATCATTCGGAACATCTTGTTTTCAATTTTCGGAACACATCTAACTCTATCGGCATCGATGCTTCTTGTTTATCAAATAACAATGGCTGTTTCTACAAAAGTTTACTTCTTAATCTACGATTGGAATTCAGATACTGAAGGACAGGGTTGAATCTGACAATGCAAATCAGACTGCCATGACAACAACGAACTTATTACTGTATTTGAAATAAAATCTTTAGTGCAGCTGTGCGAAATTTATCTTAACAAGATGATGCAGAAAAAAATCCCTATGATGCAATTTAAATGGGAAACTGCCACAATTTTCCCTCACGATCATAAACCACTTTCCCTTAGAAATCCTTATTTCCATACTTGTTCAATGTTCTCTTACTTTAATGTCATTTTCTACCGAAATGAGAAGCACAAGTATTACATTGTGGTTGTTGAAGACATTAAAAATGCCAAGACCATTTGACAGTTTGCTTCCAATCAGCAGTTAATTTGGTTGATAAAATAATAAAGCAGTGAGAGAATGTTGACATCGATCAATTAATGATTTTATCCCACCAGCCGAGAATAATATTGACTGTGGTCGAAGTTCGTGTGATAAAATTTTGGACTGACCTCACCAGTATGCTATAATCATATGTGATCATGAATTACTATTGTACGCTTTAACATGCTTATTTTGATAAATGTAACATCAAAGCAAGTATTTTAGGGTAATTGTTTCTGCTACATGATTTAATTTTCTATTAATTATTTGCATACTACTGTTTTGTTTTGTTTTTCTGTCGATTGTGCAGTTAAAACTACATCCGTTTGAGAACATACGGCTGTATAAACTAATCTTTAAATTGTCATTAATTTTGATTGCTTGTAAAGATTATTGTTTTTTGGATCTCGCATATTCGAAACCTTGATTCATGAATACCTTGTGTGATGTACTCAATTTTTAAGGCCAGCTATATCGTTTCGTAATGTGACTCTTTCAAATTTTGAAATTAATATCCCAGATTCGCATGAAGGGATTCTACAAAAATTCCTTAAGATATCGGATACACTGTCAAGTTAATATTTTAATGAGAATTTCAAAATTCTTATTTCAAGATGACTTTCATTCCAATTGAAAACCAGTGTTAATCTTAATGATTGTTTATTTACTTATAATCAATGTTAAACATCTAACACCACTGACGTGATATAGTGTCCTATCGTGATATTTCTCTTCCCTACAGAAATGAGAATCTATACTGGATGATCTACGATGCGACAGAATCTGGAATCATCAAGATCGATGTTGTTGATTCTAGAATTGAAGCTAGCTATCATTGTGTGTTTGACAAAGTCACAATCTACAAAGGTTTGTTCATTACAATGAAATCAACAGGTCTTCTTATGTATACACTGATTGTGTAATAATCGTAATATGTCCGCCAATAATGATTCTAATGTTCCATACACTTGGCCAAATATTGTGGAAGTCAGTGTGCGTAATGTATTCATGAAGAATTAAGCCCACAGCAAAATGCTTTTAGTCAGGTTAGTATATATTACTTAATAATACCTAAAGAGTTCCGTAGATAATTATTATAATTTCTAATGAATTAATATTTACTTAATATTGATTTTGCCTTTCGTTGTAATAATAGTTTCATTTTTTTTTCAAATATCTAAATTGTTTTATAAATAGGACCATGTACGTCATACCCCCAGCTAGGGACATTTTGTGGAGAGGAAAAGGGAACGTATTATCAGGACGGTGGTGATTATGCCTTTATAGCCTTCACTTCAGATCAGAATGTTGCATTCAAAGGATTCAACATCTCATATGTGCTTGTAACATGTAAGTTTATACACTAAGCAGTCAATCATTATTTATACCATAGAGTGTAACTATAATACTGAACTCTCAATGGTGAATCACCAAAGACAAAAGTGTTCTTCATGGTAAATTATTGTTTACAAAAATTTATTAAACATGTACGTTTAGCAGCATTCACATTTTAATACATGCACATGTATTCGACATTTTAGCATCACTGACTAGTCCTAGAAGGACGAAACAGCTGTGTGATGAACTTTGATTAATAATTCACTTATTTATTAAACATGAACAGAATGTAAGCATCAAGTGGAAATTATTTTTGTGAGTTAATTTTCAAAATGTCAAAAAATCTGTCCTGCCTCCAATAAATGAACGAAATCTAATACATTTATATATAAGATGTTAAACAACATCTTATGTTCGCTATGTAGATGAAGAACATAGACTAAATTGTTGAAGGAACTGTGTATGAAACAGACTATTGACGTATATATGAATTGCATGTTTCAGCAACCCCTCCAGAGGTGACAGACTACACATTGCTAATACGCGCGATCGTTGGAGGTGTATTAGGCGCCCTAGCATTGGCTGGCTTGATATTTTTGATAGTGAAGATGGTCCATGTGTGGCGTGCGACTGCCCCAATTGACACGATAAAGAGAAGGTCTTCTACCAGCAGCAACACGTCGGCATTTGTCCGAACGACAAATGCGCTCACAGCACTATCCACTTTGAGGATGCCACTACTAAAATCAACAGCGAAACCTAAAAAACCTAAGCTGCCCAAACTTCGCCGTTGATTCAATGTGTTGCTATAGATAACAAAATACTCTTGAAATCCACCTTAACGATATATCTATGCAACTAGGCTTCACTGGCCTTAATGATATTTGCGGCTTGTTTTATATATGGTGATCTCGTTATATTGCGACGATTTGTGGAGTTCATATCACCACGCTCGTGTAGACCTGAGTAATATTTAATAGGTCATCTACATACATTTCGAAACGATTTTCTATAAATACTTAAGATATAGTTTGTTGGTGATTGCCACTGTTTTCATGAACATATTACAATATTGTATAATGTGACGATGTTATACAACTTTTAACCTGATGTGCTGAAATCAAAATGATCATTGCTGTATTACCTTCACGATTTGGACGAATGTGAAATATTTTGAGAATGAAAGAGGAAGTATTCTGATATTTCTATTTGGATCAAAAATAATTTTAATCATATCTGGTGTCTCTATGATATTGTCACCAAAAGAAATTTATATTTTATCATTTCTGAAAAACAAAGTCTGAATGCAGAGCAAGAGTGTTATCTTACATTTATTATTTTATGAGAGTGTTGCAATCATGTGTCATTTAAAAGATTTTTTATGCTAGTGTTTATATATTTTCATTTTTTACCCTGTGTTTCACATTTACATGCAGAATTTAGAGCGATAGTTAGATAATACACTTACAAAAATCCGTCCTTTCATTTTAATACTGTTTTGCCTTGTTTAAATAAAACATATCACTATTAGGCGTTTTGTCCTTCAGTTCATTCTACATGAATGCAGTTTTTTTTTTTTTTTTTTTTATAGAAAAATGGGACCACCAAGCATACTAATGAGTACTCATTAAATTCATTATAGTGATCGTAAATCCTCTCCATAGGCTTAGTCAGCATACATATCTCAAAACCCGGTATTGTGAGTTTGTCAGTTACCGCGTCATTCTCAAATAACACGTAAAAACCACTCTGGGGATTCAGGGTTGGTGCCATCCTGAAATGGAAATAAAAATGAGATATGGAAATCGCCCTGCTCATCATCATTGATGTCAAAGCCTGATGAGAATATAAGAAAAGCATTGTTAAGAAATTTATTGTTATTGAAAAAGAAGACATGATCAATATATATGAAAGTGAAATTAAAGGATTCTCAAAGTATTTGTGTTCTGATTCGAAAAACTCTTCGAAACATTCTGCTTCGTACATTAAAAAAAAAGAAGAGGTACAGTTTCTTCCGATAGCTTTGCCTGTTGGAAGATCTTTATACCAAAATCGACGAATAAGTTCAATATATCTCAAACCGTAGAGTTTATTTTCCCTGGTGATACCGTTGTTAATTCAGTATATCACGTAGTGCTGACAGACCCAATAAATAGTTAATACACTATTGAATCAGAACCGACATAACATGCTGATGAAGTACAAAACCAAAACAACAGTGAGTATACAGTGCTGTCATATCCTTCCTACTGTACACTAGTATCTAGTTAACGGGTTATCCGATCCCATTGTTTACTGTAGCTAAGGACTCACACAACGCGCTGGTATTATTAAACAAATGTCGATGAACACGCACAATGCGTATTAAATGGACGGGTTTAACTATACCGTTAAATGCTATTGTTGGTTTACAGGTGTGTATAGGTAATATACCCAAAGTAGAGTCATTCATGTGTGGGATCATTATTCACATCCTTGAACCAAACATATGTGATACCATAGACTTACGTGAACCATGCAAAGGATAGACAAATAACTGGAGTCCAAAACGGTAAGATATTTGAACACATAGTAAATAGACAACGATACAAATTAAGCCAATCATCGTTCTCTGTGTCAGCTCTCTTGCTGGAGCTTTTATATCTAGCGAATCGTTGCTCTGTAACAACCCTAAATTATTAAAGGCGTGTGATTGTTGGTTGTTGAAAGAAGGCTTTACAATTAAGAGCGGAAACATAAAGATGATTTTAATCTATATCTTTTGTAGGTGATAGGATGTAAAATAATTTCAATGTTGTGCACAACACTCATTGAATGTTCGAGCTACATGTACAGCACACCATAGGCTCACGTGACAAATATGGCGGCAAATTTGATTTTGACGCTTATACTGCTTTTACAGATACAATTTGGTGAGTACATACCGACCTATAACTAGCCAAATTGAAATTATTGGTTATACGTAATTGGATAGCGAACGTCTTATACGGATTTTAAGATTCATCAATGGCTAAAACTAGTAAGTTCATTTTAAAGTATATCTTTAAATATGTGCCTAATATACTTATCACAAAGTTAATTAATAATTGTTTGACAAAATGTTGCGTTCGATTGAAAAATAGAGAAGAAAAATATTCTAGTGTGTGTGTGGTTTTTTTTTTCTTTTTTTTTCAATTTTTTTTTTTTTTTAGAGACGTTGAACGCTCAGTGCGTTAGTGCGTTAGGTCTCACAGCTCATCTTGACTACTCCGGACAAATTAAATCGCCGAACTACCCTAATAACTATGATGAGTAAGTATTGATGTGATTTTGATTTATAGTAATATATATATATAAACAAACATTTATCTTATGAAAAGAAAAATTCAAATGTGTGATAGCAAATCTGAATTTTGTTAACAATTTGAGAAGATTCCATTTGCTTTTTACACACAATTGCCAAAACTGAATATCCAAATAATCAAGATTGAGTTTTAGCAAATAAAGGGCTGTTTTATCATTCATGTCTCTTTATTGTTTCAAGTTCTTGACATTAAAAAGGGGAATGTGGGAGTCGAACTTTAGATTGAAATATCGAAAAAAAACCTCAACGACATCGACTGGCATAGTTTTTTTCATTAAACGAGTTACCTCCTGAAACACTTTTGGCACATGCGATGTGTGTAGTCTTATTTCGATTGAAATATTTCGAAAAAAAAACATTGTTTAAAATTCAAACATCTGAAATATCAAGAGTTCAGAACCAATGTTTCTTTAGTGTGATCAGGACTTCAGAATTAAACTCATTGGAGTCTAAAAAGTAACGATATACTTACCCTCACAGAGGTCGATTTTGATGGATTGCAAGTAGGGAAACATTTTCCATTTCGTTAGAAGACATATTTCACTAATATGTAACCCATTATAATGGTTAATAAGGATTTCAAGTAAATTTGAGAGTTTGACAATTAAGAATGGTTCATTTCCGTTGCCCACCACAGAACAATATATGCCTACCAAATCTATTTAGGTATGTTTCCTGCAGTAGAATTTGTATCTATTCCACAGGGTTTCTTAATGTCCTCATTCACCGCTACGATTACTTTTCTGAAATACAAATAAAAAATAAATAAATAAAAAAAAAAACAAATAAAAATTCTTCAAATCGGAAATGCTAATCATTTTAATCATTAAGTTAAAATATGTATTTCTAAGGTGGCTAAGGGTACACAAAGTGATTAAGATAAAGTAAATGAATTGACGAATTGCTTGCTGTTCCAGTCAAAGTTTTGGATTCTGAGTATTATAATATTGTACAGATGTTGCGTGTTTACATGAGTGAATACCGATACCAATTCATTTCTCTTGCAAAAATATACACAAATAAATGAATCCATCGATACTACACTCATAACCAGTACTATCTTGACACTGACACTGAAACTAACCCTGAACCTTCATGTAATATTTATCCCTTAGTCATCTCTAAGTGATTTATTTTGCAGTCGCACCAATTGTCAATGGCTTATAACTGCTACCACTGGCGTAGTTGTCCTCAGCATCCAGGACATGCATTTAGAGAGTGGATATGACTTTGTTTACTTTTACGAAGGTAAGTAAAAAAGGACAAAAAATCTATGCAGATGAATGAAATAATCCGTTGCTTGTCTATATATTGCTTTTATCCAATTTGCAATTATTTTTTGTTCCAAAGAAACTGTTCATTTTCTGTATTAATTATACTTTCGTGGCTTCCATGTTTCATGGGTTTATTCGATAGCGAAAAATAGACGAACATTTTATCCTTGGCGAATGTACTTAATTTCTTTGTATGGAACAGGTAGCTCATCCTCGGGAACTTTACTAGGTCGCTACACCTCGTCATCGACAGCCGTCATAATTACAACAGGATCTGTATTATATATGAAGTTCACATCGGACTCTAGTGTGACACGACGAGGTTTTAAATTGACGTACTTTGCTCTTTACTCTTCGTCCTCATCAAACCGTACGTTAACACGATATACCTATCACATTTCATAATCTTTCGGTAAGCAAATTCATTATTTTTACCAAGAAGTCTTGTAGGTATTGAATAGAAACTTCACCATTTTATAAGATAAACAATGTATTGTTTATCGTAACACGTGATTTTAACCTCAACAAATAACGACATTGTAAGCATGAGATGACTTGAACATAGTAATTTTCTTTGTATTTTGAAGTTTGAATTTGCTACATCAAACATTGGAGAATTTACTTTGTCAGATGGTCATCCTCGAGACTACAGGGGTTACGATCGCGTTCACTCTCTGCAACCTTGGAACATGTCATGGCAAAATAGCAGGTTCCATCAACGACATCCTGTGGACAGGACGAAAGACTAGTTTGATCCAGTGATGTACATCAAACAAATCTCAAGGTCTGTTAACGGTTTATTGTAATGGCTCTGGAGTTTGGTGTCGCTCCTTTGAAATCTTCAAAAGGAGCGTATCAGCCCATGTTCCAGGAGTGCAGAGAGCTACAGTGATTGTAACCACTGGAGTATCCTGGATGTCAGATGATAGGCAAGTATTGTATATACTTTGCAGTAATTGTTAGGTATGCTAGATGATATAATCTAATACATGAACACACTCTTTATTATTCAGTACATGACTGGCCTACTTCAACCTGTGCAAGCACTATCAATATCAGCACCAACGACATACAACAATTGAAGCTACCAAACGCTCCTGCCTCTACAAATCCGTAAGTATTTATATAATTCATACTTCTAGCTAAATGATGACTTCTTTAGATGATAGTGAATCATAAATACTGTTGTACAATGTGTAATAATTGTACAGAGCGTTATAAACCCAACAGTAATAATTGTAAGCATGGTAATGCTTCATGATCCAGGACACGAGCTCATCTTCTCCATTACTACTAAATTTGTATATCATCAACTTAAATATATTAATAGCCATAACTTATACAGATCAAGCTAATTAAAGTTTTTGTTTTCCTTGCAGAATGATAACTAACTGTGATGTGACGTTCTCTGTATCCTCCAGTAATTTAAATGTAACCTTAATTTGGAGTGACTTAACATTTACTTCGAACAATCTAAATGTGACGTCCACTCAACACTGTTACAACCAATATGGACTTTCTGTATGGGACGGTAAGGAATGCGATTAATTTAGCTAGCTAGTTAGTTGGTTGGTTGGTTTGTTGGTTAGTTAGTTAGTTAGTTATGTAGTTAGTTAGTTAGTTAGTTAGTTAGTTAGTTAGTTAGATAGTTAGTTAGTTAGTTAGTTAGTTAGTTAGTTAGTTAGTTAGTTAGTTAGTTAGTTAGTTAGTTAGTTAGTTAGTTAGTTAGTTAGTTAGTTGTAGAGTGTTATATATAATTATTGAAATTGTTAAATACATCATTCAATATCACAAGGAAACATCTGATATTTTCTATAACATTATTCAAACGGAAGAAAAATTTGGGAAATTTTATTTAGAATGAATGAAAAAGTTTTCAAACATATATGCATGACATCACAAAAGTGTCTTAACAAGTATATGACTGCACAGTGTAGAAGTGATATTAGAAATGATACCACTATGATTTGCTACGATAATACTATCAGTCCTTAATCTTTTCAGTTTAATTTGAAATACGTTCCTATCATGTTGCTGTCTGTACATGTTTCAGGCACTGGTTCAACGTTATTGTACTGGCTATGTAATGCCAACCAGAGCCCTGACGACACCATAGTGATCTATCCCACACAAACGTCGGTAACGTTCCGGTACAACTCTCCTAGTGACACCAGGGGCCCGGTCATCAGTATACAAGCGTATGCAGGTGCATGTTGTAAAGCTACAGGAAACAGTTTGATAAGTACAAAATGAACTGCCATACAGAACATACCATACTACTATATTCGAATGAATATCAAGTTCAATTCGTATATAAAAATCACTTCTGAAAAATAACAAGATCATATGATATCTTATGATTAGAGAGTTAAAAAATGAAAGATACGTAATCTTAATATATTTCTTTGCTCCATTTGGCAGGAACAGCAGCGACGGAAACAGTGCCAGTTCTGACAACGCAGTCTATAGTGTCATCTTGTGGGAGTTCGTCCTTAGTTGCAGAGTCACATCAGAAATTTCTAACGTCTCCTAACTACCCTTCTTACTATAGCAAGTAAGTCTGATATGCCTCTTAATTACCAATCACACTACAGATGTACGACACTTACTTTCTCTACCAGGCCTACTTCAGCACGTTTGTATATTGTTTTATTCAAACTTGGTGATCCTAAACGTAATATACAAGACGGTAATGACATCAAGTCCGTTTTTGTCTGAGGCTTATGTAAAAGTAGGAAACTATCAGATAACGTTAGGAAATGTTCTTACTTATAGTTAACTTAAGTATATGTACATTCTAAAGTATTTATAAACAATTATCCTAAATTAAAAAAAAACTCACTCACGAGTAGCTTTTGTCTGCTATCCGGCAGTCTTCTTCAGCCCTTCTGACAGGGGACAGGCTTAGTGGTGTTCTGTCGCATGACTAAGGATTTCCCAAATCACTTGACTGAACAAGGCTGGCATAGGTGGCAGGCAGGATGTGGTGTCCTCTATCCAGACTGAGGTCAGGTCTGGAGGAGGCGATGTAAATCGCCTTCTTGAGACACAGATGGACCCAGCGATCAATGTGTCCTTGTCTTCGTTGCGGGATTAGTCCCTTATGTGGGCCCCAAAAGGATAGGAATCCTCTCGGTTTTCTTACAACAGTTTTCAGAGACGTCGGAGTGAGAGTGCAATTTATGTACAGTTTGGTCCATCATCCTCTCGATGGCTATTTCTATGTCTGGTTGACAGTTGTTGGAAGTCCTTAATGAATTCATCTAACACATTCGTCAGTATAATGGTCTGCGTATCTTCAGCATATCTACTTAAATATATTGCAGTATTTTGGGATGTCCTAAGAGTCAATTGATCAAAGTGTTTCATAAAGAGGTTGGCTAAACTGGAAGTACTCGATGAGTCAGTACAGAACTGTCAAGTCGTATGATACTACTGACTTTTCTTTGCTCATTTTGTATTGCAGCAGTGTGCTTACCTGATCAGTACTGTTCTTAATGGGGGATAAGATCTTAGCAAGGATCCTAGAATCCCCAGACGCCAATATGGGTCTGAATTGTAAAATAATAATAATGTCATTAAGTTTTTTGATGTGATAATCATGATAATGTTTTGTTGCAGTGATTTGGCGTGTACTTGGATGATCGCATCTGTGGACACTAGTAAAGTGATTACTTTAACTATAATCAGCCTATATACAGAGGCGGTCTATGACTACCTCTATGTGTACGACGGTAGGTGAACTAAATAAAGCAGTTTTGGTGATCGCCACTCAGTCACTGTTCCCTGTCCACATATGCAGTTATAAGTAAATCAAAACCTTTAGTAAAATGCTTTTGGATTGTAATATTTCGTAGTTTTTATAACATTATTTAAATGTGCAATTACTCTGTCAGATCCATCATTCTAACGTTAATAAGCCTTTTCCACTGATATCTAGTAATAAAAATTGAAACAGATCAAATCTATTTGGGAAATAGTCATACTTCAATAAGAAGTCAATGGCTGTTGTTTCTATTTCCTCTGTCGACAATAAATTGGCAAAGAACAATACAATTGTGAATACTTAAAATGTGTTACAATCCTACAGTTTTTTGTAAATCCTTGTTGTTTACCATTTAATACAACTGCTACAACTTGTATTCCATTATTAATTATTAATTGTGCAAACCGCAAAAAAACGCGAAATATTAGGTCCTCGAAATTTAACAAATATGCAATATGCTCGGTTAGGTCCTATCTGATTCTCGTTTGCTACAACATTATGTATTTTTTGTTTATTTAAATGTTAGGCCCCAGCACGGGTTATCCTGTCATTGGTAGCAGATACAGCGGAAGCTACCTGAACACCGTATTGGTATCTACCGCCTCTTCTGTCACCTTGTATTTCTACACTGACCATTCTATCACCAACTCGGGATTCTACATCTCTTACAGCATTAGTACGGCAGGTGAGTTTAAGCATTCAAGTGTATGTTTACTGTAGCGAAAAACTGATATCAAAATGAAATCAAAATACGTTCATACTGTTTCGCTTTGGTAGTCTCAAGGTGTTTATCTAGATAATCTATACAACTTGCCAAATATTCTGTTTCAAACAGAATGAATTGAACAAAAGATAACTTATTATTTTCTTTCATATGATCCTTATTCATTTCTGTTCTATGAGACAGGAGATACATGATTTTTCAGTATATTCCGTAATATACTTGTTCATGCCAACCATAGAACGATGACATTCACTACCCTACATCTCTTGAAACCTGTAGTATTTTTGCCGTCGGCGTTTTTCACGGGTATATCGAGCTAGTCTCTATCAGATCACTCGAGACACGTAAACACTGTATATTGGTAAACACCTATCACAGCTACCCAGAGGGAACAAATACCTCTTAGGGAACAATGATAGCCTAAATCAAACCCAATAGTTAAGAGGTGAACGTGCTGATAGATAAAATAGAAATTTGTGATAGAAAATTGTATTTAATTCATAGTGTTTTCTTTTTTCGCAATCTAGCGTTGCCGTCATGTGTGGTAGGATATTCCATGTTGGAAACACTGAACGCGTCCAGCATTGAAGGGTCCATGTACTCACATCTTGGTTATCCTTCAGTTAACTACGATAAGTAAGAACATGACGTCCATCTATGTATCATCTCATACACTCTATATAAGACGAAATATATATCATTTTTATAGTGTCATATATCAGACAGTAAATGATTGCAAATATCATTTAGGTGTATGGACATGAAAATGTGATGGGTGTTATCTGATGTTATCTTGCTGAACCCGACTTTGAGAAGAACTTATATGTATAGCTAACATGATCATGTGCAATTACACGTGCATGTAAGGTACATGTAAGGTTATTTAACCTCTTTATTAAAGATAACGATATAATTTTATCTTTATTTTGGACACATCGTTTAAGATATATATAATGGAGACTGATTTGTCAATTCTATTCCGCAATATTATTATCGATTTTTTTATCACATAATTGAGCTTGTGTTGTCTCTGATTACCTATTTCAGTGGATATTCAAAATACTGGCTGATTACAAAGCCGGAAGTCTCGGATACCTTAACATTTTACTTCGCCGCATTTCGACTCGAGTCTTGTTCCTATGACACACTTAAGGTCTACAAAGGTAAAAATTCAGAAATCGAAATTGCAACTTATTTGCCGGGAAAATTACATGAACAAAAGATATGAAATTGAATCTGACCATATTTCATTTCTAAATGACAAATTAAAAGTTGCGGTCTTCACTTAATTTGAAAAAAAAAAATTTTTTATTCCTTCCAGGTGCTTGTGATTATGATACACATCTACACACCTTTTGTGGTGAGATTGATTTAAGTGAATCTTACTCTGTCAGTCTCAGTAGATATGTGCTCTTCTACATGAACACAGACAGCTCTGTACGGTATACAGGATTTGATTTGAGATACAGGATAGGAGACACAACAGGTATGCAATCAGTTCAAAGGGACACAACTCTAATCTTTCGTGGTAATACACATTTTCTTCTCTGTGGTGTATAATCTCCTATGGCGATTTCTTCATTTAACTTCCTTCACGTATGCCAAAGCATTACATATTATCTCCGTTTTGACCGTGAGGTTTCTTTATTTTAATTGCAATTATGAAAAATGAATATATTGATTCTCATATAATATCTTATCATGATTTATATTTGATCATTCAATTTTTTTCTGTAATCTTTTATGTTATCATCATGTTAAGAGTCCCGGTATAATTTATTGTCAGCTAGTAGGTATATGCCAGCGGCTTATTTTATTCACTAAGTGTGTATATACATTACAAGTGCATAACCTATCAATGATCTCAGTAAGCTTGTTGCCATACACTATTTTCCAGCTTAGTATAGATATGGTTATAGTGCGCCCGAAATGTCATGTCGATCCATTTCCATCTCGTACACTGTTTGCATCAGTGCAAGTACATTTAAACTGCAGATTCGTATGACAAGTCAAACTCGTTTCCTTCTGATTGTGACACAGCCTGGTACTTCAATGAAGCAGGATTTATAAATGTATTCAGTCAATCGAATTGTCGTAAAATATCAAAATTCATATTCTTAACTCTTTAATATCATCGTTGCTTCATTTCTAAACATTATTGCACATCCATAAAAAAATTGCGTATTTTTGTCGATAACATAAAGCCAAACAGGAAGTGAGATCCATATCTAGTACTGAACACAATAATGATAATGAAATCCTGAGCTTAGAACTAAACAAAACTTACTTTTAATTGTTCAACAGATGAGTTTATCAAATTGATGATATTAAGTGAACTTTTAGCAGTCCATCCAATCTATAATTGATATTTTATCATATTTTGATGATGCTTTCCGAAATCGAATGAAAAGTAAACCTTTGATTTATTTTACTGAATTTTAAATGTCAAAAAATTCCGCGCAAAGAGAACGTAGTCATTCATGATAAACCTCTATATCTCACTTTTGATTGAAACATTTCATTTTGTTGTTTACAGATGAGTACGAAGATGAGAATAACATTCCTATTGTTACTATTGTCGTACCAGTAGTTGTCGTCTCTGCTATAATAATAGCAGTCATTTGCAAAGTAGTATCGCTTCGTGCAAAAACAACGAAATCTACAGCTAAGGTCAGTCCACCAAGTATCACTAATTACAAACTGACGGCTACAACCAAAGTCAAGATACCAAAACAAAAACCAATAAGGAAAAAAGCAACGGTCAAAACTCCAGCAGCTGATCCTTCACCTCCAGTACCACCACAACCTACAACAATACAACAACCAGTAGCTCCATCAGCGCCTCACATTTTCCAGGATCCAGCTTACCCTCCTTTACCTCAGAACTTCGGAGGATCAGTCCCACCAATACAACAGACGTACTACAATACCAATCCTAATTCCAATCCTACTCCATTGAACAATAATGTGCCAGATCCGTTTGTATACACGCCACCTTACTAGGTTTTGTACATTCTATATGTCAAGCTTTCTTTATAGTGTTTGTACCATTTATCCTTGGTATTTGTACTATTTGTACCACAAATAAATTTCTGACTTTAAAACCTTACATGAACGACCAAACAGAATTAGGAACACTATTGCTATGAGTGGCGGATTAGCCCTATTTGTAGATATAACGTTCGAGAGTTAGGAGTACGGGCCTTTCAAGAGTTTGTACAACGAGGGCAATTTAACGATTTGAGGACATGCCGAAGTTTGAACCAATGCAACGCTATTGTAGATGAGATAATGGTTGTTTTAATCACGTGTCACTGTATTGACTTATTAGAAACAAGACAATATGGATGAGGTATAATAAAAAGAAAAGAGTAATAAACCATGCAAGGTGTACAACGCCTTATTACAAACGAGTTAGACTTTAAATCTTTAAGTAAAATAATGAAATACAATTTTGTTGTCAATTTCTCCCTGAACTTGATATCAGAAGATTAAGTAAATACTTCATAGAATTCCTTTAGTGCCGAGTTACATGTACCTTTATAGTAGCAACAACAGTGACTTAAACAACAAATTATACTGTACAGATTGTCATAATGATGAAAGATAACAGAAAATTCATTTAGTACAAACATAGTACTCAGCGATACTATTCAGTAGATTCTGAGCGTCAGCATTACACAGTGAAGACTAACATGAATTAACGACAGCAACAATATTATCAGTATTGATGTTATGAATGTACAGAATTTTGGTGAGGTATGTGGCTTACCTGCGCTTTTATTGTTCATTGGTGAAGTATGTATGTGGCTTACCTACCTTTTTACTGTTAATTAGTTAAGTGGGTGGCTTACCTACGTTTTTACTGTTCATTAGTGAAGTATGTGGCTTACCTACGTTTTTACTGTTCATTAGTGAAGTATGTGGCTTACCTACGTTTTTACTGTTCATTAGTGAAGTATGTGACTTACCTACGTTTTTACAGTTAATTGGTGAAGTATGTGGCTTACCTACGTTTTTACAGTTAATTGGTGAAGTATGTGGCTTACCTACGTTTTTACAGTTAATTGGTGAAGTATGTGGCTTACCTACGTTTTTACTGTTCATTAGTTAAGTATGTGGCTTACCTACGTTTTTACTGTTCATAAGTGAAGTATGTGGCTTACCTACGTTTTTACTGTTAATTGGTGAAGTATGTGGCTTACCTACGTTTTTACTGTTAATTGGTGAAGTATGTGGCTTACCTACGTTTTTACTGTTCATTAGTTTAGTATGTGGCTTACCTACGTTTTTACTGTTCATAAGTGAAGTATGTGGCTTACCTACGTTTTTACTGTTCATTAGTTAAGTATGTGGCTTACCTACGTTTTTACTGTTAATTGGTGAAGTATGTGGCTTACCTACGTTTTTACTGTTCATTGGTGAAGTATGTGGCTTACCTACGTTTTTACTGTTCATTAGTGAAGTATGTGGCTTACCTATGTTTTTACTGTTCATTAGTTAAGTATGTGGCTTACCTACGTTTTTACTGTTCATTAGTTAAGTATGTGGCTTACCTACGTTTTTACTGTTAATTGGTGAAGTATGTGGCTTACCTACGTTTTTACAGTTAATTGGTGAAGTATGTGGCTTACCTACGTTTTTACTGTTCATTAGTTAAGTATGTGGCTTACCTACGTTTTTACAGTTAATTGGTGAAGTATGTGGCTTACCTACGTTTTTACTGTTCATTAGTTTAGTATGTGGCTTACCTACGTTTTTACTGTTCATAAGTGAAGTATGTGGCTTACCTACGTTTTTACTGTTCATTAGTTAAGTATGTGGCTTACCTACGTTTTTACTGTTAATTGGTGAAGTATGTGGCTTACCTACGTTTTTACTGTTCATTGGTGAAGTATGTGGCTTACCTACGTTTTTACTGTTCATTAGTTAAGTATGTGGCTTACCTACGTTTTTACTGTTAATTGGTGAAGTATGTGGCTTACCTACGTTTTTACAGTTAATTGGTGAAGTATGTGGCTTACCTACGTTTTTACTGTTCATTAGTTAAGTATGTGGCTTACCTACGTTTTTACAGTTAATTGGTGAAGTATGTGGCTTACCTACGTTTTTACAGTTAATTGGTGAAGTATGTGGCTTACCTACATTTTTACTGTTCATTAGTGAAGTATGTGGCTTACCTACGTTTTTACTGTTAATTGGTGAAGTATGTGGCTTACCTACGTTTTTACTGTTCATTAGTGAAGTATGTGGCTTACCTACGTTTTTACAGTTAATTGGTGAAGTATGTGGCTTACCTACATTTTTACTGTTCATTAGTTAAGTATATGGCTTACCTACGTTTTTACTGTTAATTGGTGAAGTATGTGGCTTACCTACGTTTTTACTGTTCATTAGTGAAGTATGTGGCTTACCTACGTTTTTACTGTTCATTAGTGAAGTATGTGGCTTACCTACGTTTTTACAGTTAATTGGTGAAGTATGTGGCTTACCTACGTTTTTACAGTTAATTGGTGAAGTATGTGGCTTACCTACGTTTTTACTGTTCATTAGTGAAGTATGTGGCTTACCTACGTTTTTACTGTTAATTGGTGAAGTATGTGGCTTACCTACGTTTTTACTGTTTATTAGTTAAGTATGTGGCTTACCTACGTTTTTACTGTTGATTAGTGAAGTATGTGGCTTACCTACGTTTTTACTGTTCATTAGTGAAGTATGTGGCTTACCTACGTTTTTACTGTTAATTGGTGAAGTATGTGGCTTACCTACGTTTTTACTGTTTATTAGTTAAGTATGTGGCTTACCTACGTTTTTACTGTTGATTAGTTAAGTATGTGGCTTACCTACGTTTTTACTGTTCATTAGTTAAGTATGTGGCTTACCTACGTTTTTACTGTTCATTAGTGAAGTATGTGGCTTACCTACGTTTTTACTGTTAATTGGTGAAGTATGTGGCTTACCTACGTTTTTACTGTTAATTAGTGAAGTATGTGACTTACCTACGTTTTTACTGTTCATTAGTGAAGTATGTGGCTTACCTACGTTTTTACTGTTCATTAGTGAAGTATGTGGCTTACCTACGTTTTTACAGTTAATTGGTGAAGTATGTGGCTTACCTACGTTTTTACTGTTAATTGGTGAAGTATGTGGCTTACCTACGTTTTTACAGTTAATTAGTGAAGTATGTGACTTACCTACGTTTTTACTGTTCATTAGTGAAGTATGTGGCTTACCTACGTTTTTACTGTTCATTAGTGAAGTATGTGGCTTACCTACGTTTTTACTGTTCATTAGTGAAGTATGTGGCTTACCTACGTTTTTACTGTTCATTAGTGAAGTATGTGGCTTACCTACGTTTTTACTGTTCATTAGTGAAGTATGTGGCTTACCTACGTTTTTACTGTTCATTAGTGAAGTATGTGGCTTACCTACGTTTTTACTGTTCATTAGTGAAGTATGTGGCTTACCTACGTTTTTACTGTTCATTAGTGAAGTATATGGCTTAAATACGTTTTTTATTGTTCAGTAATCTTATTGCTTACTCTTCAATGAAATATCATTCGCCAGATAAATGAAGACGCGATTTGGCTTTGTTCTTCCATGATACATTAATTTGATCTTTCTTGCTGTTGTTTCTCTACTGATATTCCCGACTCTTACATTTAACCCAAGAAAAACATATTTTTAGATATTTGTTTTATTTTTCCAAGATGTATGATGATTTTGAACAAATTGTCATTTTACACTTCATGCTAGGAACCTTGGTAGAGAGATGTCTGCTCTGGGATCAAATTCGGGCCTATATTACAATTGTTTGTTACACAGCAGAAGTTACATTCATAATCAAATCCGAACGCACCATCGTCAACCATGAAACAAAATGACTTGTAGCCGCCATTATCCTGCCAATCTTGTTCACAAAACATCCTGTCTACACACCTGAAAGAAGTTTTATCAAGATAAAATGCATGTGCAACTAGAATCCATATCCGTGAACTGCACATCGTACATGCAAAGTATTCATCAGCACTCGTAAGCAGTCATCAGAATATAGTAGAGTGGGCTTGTTAACACTATATTCTGATAATTCTCTACATTTCACGTTTTTTCTTTTAACTTAGAAGGAAATAAAACTATAACCAAGCAGTTTCAGTTCAGGGGAGTTGTTGTTTTACATATATAACAATAATTAATTATATAGCTAATGATTTAGAAACAAACGACTAAGAAACCTAACTTGTTTTATTAAACTTTCACTGGAAATTTCATCATTTATAATATTATCTTATTTATGATTGAAAAAAATGTGGCTTGCGAAAGATATCGTTTTCGATTGTTGAAAACATCCGTTAAAAGTTTAACAAAATTACAGGTAAATAACTCGAAATACAATATGTAAACAAAAATGTTCCTTACCTGCGAACAACTTTTCGTGAACCTGGACTGTCTTGGATCCGAACAAGACAATACTGAGTAGGGCTAGCACAGTGGTTCAGATCCGTGTTGTTATTTTTACAATCCAAGCCGGTACAAACAGCACACGCTTCGTTTGGAAGAGGAAAAAATACGTCAGATAAAAAACAGCATTCATTCTTTGAATAAGTAATATTTACTGTAACATTAACTTCTTTATGTTTTTAGTTATTACAGTGATATATACATTACAACAATACTAAATATCGCAACTATTATTTAAACATTGGTTAAGACCTAATTAATGAGTATATTCTTAAAGTAACATATTTTGCCTTATTGATTATAAGTATTACAAAAAACTATCACTTATCATATCTAAATTGGATAAAAAATTAAGATAACCTTTGTAAAAGAGTTCAACATGAAAAAATGTAGATACTTTTTCTCACATATCTAATAAAAGTTACATTTTTACTGGTTTTGAAGAATGAAACAAAAAAATGATAGAACATTTTCTTGAGCCATTTTCAATGTATGCACCAAACGAAAAATGCTCAATGGTATATTATACTACTGACATACACGCAAAAGTATTACATTAGCGAATTCACTGGAGGGATAATACGATCAACGAATATTGCCTTGGTGATAGATGTAGGATCAACATATAGAACTGATATATCCCATCGTTTATGGGTAGTATCATATCACACGTATAACGGGTATCATATCACACCTATAACGATATATCACACATAAGTTTATGGGTAGGGTATCATATCACACCTATAACGGGTGATATCATATCACACCTATAACGGGTGGTATCATATCACACATATAACAGGTATCATATCACACCTATAACGGGTGATATATCACACCTATAACGGGTATCATATCACACCAATAACGGGTGATATCATATCACACCTATAACGGGTGGTATCATATCACACCTATAACGGGTGGTATCATATCACACCTATAACGGGTATCAAATCACAACTATAACGGGGGGTATCATATCATATCTATAACGGGTCGTATCATATCACATCTATAACGGGTATCATATCACACCTATAACGGGTGTTATCATATCACACCTATAACGGGTGGTATCATATCACACCTATAACGGGTGGTATCATATCACACCTATAACGGGTGGTATCATATCACACATATAACAGGTATCATATCATACCTATAACGGGTATCATATCACACCAATAACGGGTGATATATCACACCTATAACGGGTGGTATCATATCTAACCTATAACGGGTGTTATCATATCACACCTATAACGGTTGTTATCATATCACACCTATAACGGGTGATATATCACACCTATAACAGGTGGTATCATATCACACCTATAACGGGTGGTATCATATTACACCTATAATGAATGGTATCATATCACACCTATAACAGGTGTTATCATATAACACCTATAACGGGTGTTATCATATCACACCTATAACGAGTGGTATCATATCACAAATATAACGGGTGGTTTCATATCACACCTATAACGGGTGGTATCATATCACACCTATAACCGGTGGTATCATATCACACCTAAAACGGATAGTATCATATCACACCTATAACGGTTGATATCATATCACACGTATAACGGGTGGTATCATATCACACATATAACAGGTATCATATCACACCTATAACGGGTATCATATCACACCTATAACGGGTATCATATCACATCTATAACGGGTGGTTTCTATCACTCCTATAAGGGGTGGTATCATATCATACCTATAACGGGTAGTATCATATCACACCTATAACGGTTGATATCATATCACACGTATAACGGATGGTATCATATCACACCTATAACGGGTGTTATCATATCACACCTATAACGGGTGTTATCATATCACACCTATAACGGGTGGTATCATATCACACCTATAACGGGTGTTATCATATTACACATATAACAAGTGTTATCATATCACACCTATAACGGGTGATATATCACACCTATAAAGGTGGTATCATATCACACCTATAAAGGGTGGTATCATATCACACCTATAACGGGTGGTATCATATTACACCTATAATGAATGGTATCATATCACACATATAACAGGTATCATATCACACCTATAACGGGTGATATATCACACCTATAATTGGTGGTATCATATCACACCTATAACGGGTATCATATCACACCTATAACGGGTGATATCATATCACACCTATAAGGGGTGGTATAATATCACACCTATAACGGGTGGTATCATATCACACCTATAACGGGTATCATATCACACCTATAACGGGTGGTATCATATCACACCTATAAGGGGTGGTATCATATCACACCTATAACGGGTGGTATCATATCACACCTATAACGGGTGGTATCATATCTCACTTATAAGGTTTGTTATCATATCACACCTATAACAGGTGGTATCATTTCACATCTATAACGGGTATCATATCACACCTATAACGGGTGTTATATCACACCTATCACACACACTTATAACGGGTGGTATCATATCACACCTATAACACATATCAATGACTATAACGGGTATCATATCACACACCTATATAACGGGTGTATATCATATCACACCAATAACGGGTGATATATCACACCTATAACGGGTGGTATCATATCAAACCTATAACGGGTGTTATCATATCACACCTATAACGGGTGGTATCATATCTAACCTATAACGGGTGTTATCATATCACACCTATAACGGGTATCAAATCACACCTATAACGGGTCGTATCATATCACATCTATAACGGGTATCATATCACACCTATAACGGGTATCATATCACACCTATAAGGGGTGATATCATGTCACACCTAAAACGGATAGTATCATATCACACCTATAACGGGTATCATATCACACATATAACGAGTGGTATCATATCACACCTATAACAGATATATCACACCTATAACGGATGGTATCATATTACACCTATAACGGGTGGTATCATATCACACCTATAACAGGTGTTATCATATCAATCCTATAACAGGTGTTATATCACACCTATAACAGGTGGTATCATATCACACCTTTAACGGGTGTTATCATATCACACCTATAATGGGTGGTATCATATCACACTTATAACGGGTGTTATATCACACCTATAACGGGTGGTATCATATCACATCTATAACGGATGTCATATCACATCTAGAAGGGATAGTATCAAATCACGCCTATAATGGGTGGTATCATATCAAACTTATAACGAGTGGTATCATATCATACCTATAACGAGTGGTATCATATCACACCTATAATAGGTGGTTATCATATCACACCTATAACAGGTGGTATCATATCACACCTATAACAGGTGGTATCATATCACACCTATAACGGGTGGTTTCATATCACTCCTATAACAGGTGGTATCATAGCATACCTATAACGGGTATCATATCACACCTATAACAGATGTTATCATATAACACCTATAACGGGTGTTATCATATCACACCTATAACAGGTGTTATCATATTACACATATAACGGGTGGTATCCTTACACCTATAACGGGTGTTATATCACACCTATAACAGGTGGTAACATATCACACCTATAACGGGTATCATATTACACAAATAACGGGTGGTATCATATCACACATATAACAGGTATCATATCACACCTATAATTGGTGGTATCATATCACACCTATAACGGGTATCATATCACACCTATAACGGGTGGTTTCATATCACTCCTATAACGGGTGGTATCATAGCATACATATAACGGATATCATATCACACCTATAACCGGTGGTATCATATCACACGTTTAACGGGTGTTATCATATCACACCTATAACAGGTGTTATCATATTACACATATAACGGGTGGTATCCTTATACCTATAACGGGTGTTATATCACACCTATAACGGGTGGTATCATATCACATCTATAACAAGTGTCATATCACATCTATAAGGGATGGTATCAAATAACACCTATAATGGGTGGTATCATATCAAACTGAATACGGGTGGTATCATATCATACCTATAACGAGTGGTATCATATCACACCTATAATAGGTGGTTATTAAATCACACCTATAACGGGTGGTATCATATCACACCTATAACAGGTGGTATCATATCACACCTATAACGGGTGGTTTCATATCACTCCTATAACGGGTGGTATCATAGCATACCTATAACGGGTATCATATCACACCTATAACGGGTGGTATCCTTACACCTATAACGGGTGGTATCATATCACACTTATGATGGGTGGTACCATATCACACCTATAACGGATGGTATCATATTACACCTATAACGGGTGGTATCATATAAGACCTATAACAGGTGTTATCCTTACACCTATAACGGGTGTTATATCACACCTATAACGGGTGTTTTCATATCACACCTATAACGGGTGGTATATCACACCTATAACGGGTATCATATCACACCTATAACGGGTGGTATCATATCACACCTATAACGGGTGTTATATCACACCTATAACGGGTGGTATCATATCACACCTATAACGGGTGTTATCATATCACACCTATAATGGGTGGTATCATATCACACTTATAACGGGTGTTATCATATCACACCTATAACAGGTGGTATCATATCACACCTATAACGGGTGGTACCATATCTCACTTATAACGGGTGTTATCATATCACACCTTTAACAGGTGGTATCATATCACATCTATAACGGGTATCATATCACACCTATAACGAGTGGTATCATATCACAAATATAACGGGTGGTTTCATATCACACCTATAACGGGTGGTATCATATCGCACCTATACCGGGTAATAAAGTAATATTACATTGTGATAGATGTGTAAACATCTCAAAAATTGATTTGTAATTGCCCTTTCTTAATGGAATTGTTTACTTAACACTGACACTTCATGTGTAAGCTCTAATTAACATTAATTTCGAAGATTTTCCAATCGCTTTACTGATCCAGTAAACATATTATAAAACGATAATAACGTTAATATAAAATAACTGAACGTCCAAATTTACAACCGCTAATTAAGCAAATTTAAATGCGTGTTTGCTTGTTTCATTTTTTTTTTCTTCTTCTTTTTTTTCCGTAAAAAGAAAATAATTCATTGTCCTGCTTACAAAGATTTGGATTCTTTGTCGTGGCCATTGAAGTTTGCTTTGTTGTTTCTGAAGATGATGTGGTTGTAGGTGTTGGTGTAGTCGTTGTTGGTTTTAGGATGGTCGTTGTTGGTGTTTTAGTAGTCGTTGTTGGTTTTGGAGTAGTAGTTGTGGGTGTTTTAGTAGTCGTTGGTTTTAGTGTGGTCGTTGTTGGTTTTAGTGTGGTCGTTGTTGGTTTTAGTGTGGTCGTTGTTGGTGTTTTAGTAGTCGTTGGTTTTAGTGTGGTCGTTGTGGGTTTTAGTGTGGTCGTTGTTGGTTTTAGTGTGGTCGTTGTTGGTTTTAGTGTGGTCGTTGTTGGTACTAGTGTGGTCGTTACTTGTGCTTTGGTTGTCGTTGGCTGCGAATGGATAGTCGTTGTTAGTTCCGAAGTGGTCGTTGGCGTTGTTGCTAGCATTGTTGTTGTTGCAATAGGTGCTTTAGTTGTTGTAGTCACTGTGGAGGTCGGCATAGGTATCTTTGAGGTAATAGATATTTGAACAGGAGAACATTGGACAGGATCTGGACCAAGTTCCCTATTTGGCAAGCGAAGGTATTGTGCACAAACGTTTCCTTGGTGTTGTTTTAAAACTAAAATTAAAGTTAAGTTTTAAATAAACAACATAATTATACACTATATTCAATATTATTTAGGACTAAACAACGAATACATCAATCAGTTAAAATATATTGTCTTTGTCTTTGGCTTCTCCATTACTTACTTACATGTCCCTGGCCTAGGTAGGGGAAGGTAGGGGAAACATATCTAAATCCCTAATAGAAATATTGGAAATTGATAAAACCACTGTTTACACCAAAATCTAATCAGGTTTACATACATATGACTTAATACCATTACACATTATTGATTATTTTGATTCTTTAGATCCACACAATCGCGAATATTCACCATTAGTATTCAACAGAACTGCACAAACTTCATCAAATCAATCTCAGTGCTTTGTGTCATGTCTTAAATCTATTTATTCCTTATTATAGCAACTCAAATACGTTTTTTCTAATCTTAACTCATGACGAGAACGTGGTAATATAAACAGCTTTTACATAAGTTGTCTCGCTTGGTATGGCACGAATACATGTAAACATCATTTATGTTAATGAACCCACGCCTCAGTAACAGGACTGTTAAGTATGTACATTACAACACGTAGAGAGTTATCAGAAATTGGGAACAGTGAACTTATATTTATATTTATTTTAATACATTATGTTCAATGTAGTTTATGCAATCAAGCGACTATTTGTGTTCTTTTTTATGTTTTCCTATCTGCCTATTGTTTTTATCATTGTTATTATTTTATTACAATACTCAGCCATCTATCACTGTTATTATTTTATTACAATACTCAGCCATCTATCACTGTTATTATTTTATTACAATACTCAGCCATCCATGTTTTGATATCGTTCAATGTGGCTTCAACATTCCTACACATAAAACATGCTAGCTCCTATGTTGTAATTATTAATTTCCAAATTTTCTGCCTCCGTGACTCTTTCTATAGCCTTATTTTACCATTACCTATAAAATAAACTGATTTGATGCATCCACCTTGATGTCTTTATTATTTCGTTTTGTAAAGTGTATGATGCTTCATAATAAACCTTTACTTTCATATGAACAGTTTCATAAGAATTTAATTAATGTAATTGAATTAATCTTCTGTTAATTTCAATAGTTAACAAAACATTGGTCCAATAACAAAAATGCCTGTTTCAGAATGTAACTTACTTGATATTCAATTTCAATATCGTAAAATTATCGAATGTGTTGCCTTACTACAAAGCGCGTTGTTATTTAACAGCAATAACTTTATTACTTTATTCCTCCATCAACAGTAAAATTGGTTTTGGAATATTGTGGGCGAAATAACTATTGCATTGTTCTAATAAAATTATATTATCTATCTCATAAGGAAAATAACGTTAACGTGTTGAAATGACTTTCATGTCCAGTATATGTCATTAATGTAAAGATATATAATGGTAATAGTTACACAAGATATATGAACACTTACAAGTGTTGAGGAGATATTCCATCATGTTCAGACACACGGTATGGTGGAATTGGTTGGTGTATTCAATGCTCATAATAGCCTCGTGGAACTCTGTGGTTTGGTTTCCTGAAAAATTGAAAATGTCACATCATTCGAGGCAGAAGTGCTAGAGTCAATCAAGTCATACAGCAATTGCAATCATGATCCCCACTCCCCCCCCCTCCACCATTTTACACAATAGAATAAAATTATTACCACAAACACAAGAAGAAAAATAAACAAGAGATATAAAGCTACTACTCTTTCTACAACTATACATCAAATAGAAACTCAAATAAAGGACATAAAGCATGTAGGAAAATGTTGGCTTTGTTGTATTGGTGATTGCACTGGTTGAATGGTGTAAGGATACGACTGGGGACCTTCTGTGATGAAGATCTACATATTATATATCCGATATAGAAACTAAACAAAATCGTATTTAGTTTTAAACTTGACACAATACTGATTGAGAGATTTATTTCAATTTTGTTCTCTTTCTTCCTCACATCGGCAGTTAGAAAAAGTGTTTATTGTAAGTATTACCTTTCCATTGTTGAAGGAGATATCTGTACCCGCCTTCAACATTATCTGTATAATACCAGAAAAAATAAGCATCTTTAATTCGAATAAAGTCATATTAACAATGTAGCTTTGTGTTTCCATGCCAAATTTCAGCTGTTTATCAGAATGACTATAAATAACATAATATCATTGTTAAGCAACATAGTCGTGTTGTTTGGTACTAGTGATCCTTAAAACAAATTTTTATTCTCGCATGTACATGCATCGATATCAATTTGTGAAAGTGCCTTATTAATATTCAAAATAGATATTTATTCAATACATGCAAAATAGTAAAATCATTTCCTGATCAGTAGTTCAACACTTAACGCTACTTTATTGCTAATATTAAGGACAAATAATTTATTTTTACAAGTTTACAAAGTAACTTACCAAGAGGGATATGTCTCAGCTCTCTGATTCGTATCCTTAGAAGTTCTGAATCTGCAACCAAAATAACAATAGGTTATTTACCTATTACATGTATTTATACACGGATAAGAATTTCAAATCTGTGAAAATCTTTTTTTAGGATACTTACACAAATACTCTCCACTCTTGATCCATCGATTTGCTATTGCGAGAGCATCTGAAACAAAAATTGTCACTAAATGAAATAAGAATAGCCAAATTAACACGATTCTTTGTTACATTGATATAATTGTAAGGAGGGAAAACAATATGGATTAAACTTCTTATTTCCAATATTGTTACACGTTCTATCAATATAGTATACAGTCTTATTGTGGTATTGCTTATTAAAGAAGTGGTAATCATATGCGGTTTTTAAAGAACTTTAAGAAGCTTTTGATTTACCTTCAACAAGCTCTTCTACGAAATAATCCTATCTTCTATAAGAACATATGATTTGTCCACTCTGTACACAACCATCCTAAACTGAAAGAATACCTTCATCTCTTGTTGTTAGAGCTGTTTTCTTTCCCAAGAATGGTGCTCGGTGGCACCAACATATGGTTGTGAAATGTACTGAAGCGTATTTCATGAAAAAATACATCCAAATCAAAGAAAAAAATACGGAGGGCGACAACAGAAAAACGATCGAGTTTCTGGTTGACAACATCTTCCAACAGACTATGGACCTACCTTTGGGAAGTAACAGTGCCCCTCTGTTACTAAGCTTTTCTCATAAGAGACTAAAAGGTGTGTTCCCGTTACACGATTTTCATGCAAAATGTCGCCGACTTGCAAATTCATAGCACAGCGTTTCAAAAGATAGAGATTCCGTTGATAAATATCTCATGTGAAAACGTTACATTACTTTTTTGATTGGACATGATTTATAAGGTGGGTGTCGTCCACGAAGCAGAAGACGCTTACTCTTCCGCAACATAGTGTCTTATTTTCCTTGTACTCTTTCATGAGTCTCGGTGTAAATCTTTATTTGGTTTAATTTTGCCCTAGTTTTATTGAATTTGAGTTTAGATAATGATTATGTTTACATGATGGTATTTTTGTTGTTTTTGGAAAAGGTTTGCTTGAAATAAAATGATATTATTTCGTCGAATGGAATATGATTTTCTGCATCTGTGTGTAGTAGCTCTCCAACAGATTATGTAATCACCTACTTCAAGTCTATATCAGGAAACTCTAATATCAAACTAAGTAGAGTACTTACATGAAATTTTAATGAGTAAAATGAAATAATGGTATTGATAAAAACAAAAGATATGTATATTCAGAAGTTAAAACTGGCGTCTTCATAAGAATTCTTTTCCTGTATTCTAATGCAATATTATCTTCAACAGCCTAAGATGAAAAATTATAGAACACTAATAATAAATTTTAGAGTGAATTTTTCAGCACAGTTTTATTTTTACTGTAACAATTTCATTGTGTTTTTTCAGTATGTCAATTCTGTTTATCGATCCTCTCGAGAGCACTGATATGTGTTTTCGTGCTGTATATTTTTTGTATACTAATTGCACTGGAATATAGCTTACCTTCAAACTCTGACAAATAGATACACTCATCAGGCAAAACGTGTTCTGCAAAAAATTTATTTTAATGTTATAAACTGCTCACAATACTAGAAACGCAATAGGATCCCAAGAAAATTCCGACATGTCAATGAAGTCTTAATATAAAAAACGCAATGCTGAAACGACGACACGAGGTGAATATGTCACATTGTTAGAACATTTCTGATATCGTTTAGGCCAGATACATGGCAAGAATAATATCACCAAACAGTGATGATTGTTCCGAAACCACTATGTTGTTTGTCCTATCATCTAGTACATTGCACCACATATGTAGCATGAGAAATATATACGTAGATCAATGGCCGTGGTTTTATCTGTACTACTCATCTGTACAACAGGGAGGAAAGCATATTGGCATCGATAGGTAAGATTGCCTATTGGAACCATGATTTGTTGATGAAATAGTAGAAACATGCACAGAAATTTTATTTGAAAATTATGTGTAACTGAAATCTCCTAAGGGACCAATACAAATCAATACACATGGCATTAAATAAAGTTTCAAGTAGAATGCGAAGAGTCGAAGTATTATAACTTCAATAATTATATGTATAAAAACGTATTAACAATTCAAAGACACAACATACCTAGAGATGTGCCACCTTGTGGGCCGAACAGAAATCTTCTTTGATGGCCATCGGATAAAACTACAAAGTTGAAATGTGTTATAATGATTTTGCAACTGTATATTAGTATCATGACGCACTCGTCTAGATTTCTTGAACATGGTCAGAATATATCGGTCACTGCTGTTGCAATACATATAGTATAGAACATGGCTCGTGTTTATCAAATTTCATGGTCAGCCTTTCGTTATTATATGCGTTGAGTTATGTAACAACATATCCCTCCTACTGTTTTTAAGAGTTTAGATACGAAAAGTGTTTCCAAAAGCATGCGTTCAGCAACATACTTCCGTTAAACATAAACTACATAATAGCAATGATAATTAACTTATTCAAAAATTCTTCAAATATTAGCTCAGTATTTTTATAAGAGACAAGTATTATATTAAAATTAAAATTAAAATTTCACCTCTTGAAATAGCAGTGCCCAATTTTCTTTATAATCGTATCGCTTAAATAAGAAAAAAAACCTACCAAAAAAGGTCAGAACTAATGTCGAAATCCAAATCAACATGATGTCACCTGCACTCAGAGTGGGACACTATAGGTCACAATGTCTTATCTATAGCCCGTAAATACAGACAGTCTGTTTATCTACATTGTAATATTTACGGTACATCACAGTGACATTCCTATCTTAAACACTGTTTTTCTTTATGGCGCTTCAAAGAAGGTGATTTTTTTTAAATTCAGGGTAATGAGATGAAAAATGCAATGTCCTGTTACTCTCAAATATTGGGACAATAAAATAGACCGATTGTCACTGTTGAATTTAACCAAATTAAGAAAAATCGAGCAGATTATATTTGGAAATGCGATGTACAGACACAAATTGCGTATCTCACATGCGTGGGAACAATGTAAAGACCGTGCCTTAATCACATGATTGCCTTGTTATTAGTGAATATACCGATGTCATATATTTTGCATATTACTCGTGTGTTAGGGCTTATTGTGACGTCACTTCGGGAAATCAATTGACTTCACACATTCAAAAATGGCATTTGGGCGTAACAGTGGAGATCTGATACACAGGGAATGAATCCATGTTTGTCATATAAATGTCCGGTTCCTATTATATTTCCTTGCAAAATCGATATTTTGATAAAAAAAATCCCCGTTATTCGTTCTCAATTGATATATGATATATCAAACTCGTCACGAAATTAATCTATCTCGCCGTTTTAGTGTATTACTCATATCATGCTTTGAGAATATCAAATTAAGAACTCTCTCCAGCTTTCGATATTTCGTATCCGGATTTGGTAAACCTTTGGTATATCTTATACTTATCTTGATATCTTATATATATATGTCTGTTCATCTTTGTAGTGTTGACTCCTCGGTGATACCGTATTTCCTTGTATTAGGTGTATACATTTCACCTTAATTATATCATCAGTTATGCCTATATAAATAATGTTATGATAATATAACCATTTAAGATTTTTAACATTTGTCTTTTACCTTTTAGTTTGTTTAATGTTATTACCTTTTGGATCGCTGTGTGTTTCACCGGATGATGGCCCTAATGACCTTTTATGTGATTACGGGCCGTTAAGATTGTAATAATAATAATAATAATAAATTATATCACAACGGCTATCGTTATAACTGTACGAAATCAAGGAAAAATTCGTATACAAGTGTTGCTATATTTAATCATAGGAATCCCACACCATCTATGTCATTGTTAAAACATCATTAACACGGCTGCGTACTGTTAGGAGCTTGGTGGTGTACGTCTAACCCTCCACATATATCCTTTGTTTCGTGTTTCGTTGTGTTCACTGCTGGATAGACATTGATCCGGTTTCTACAACACTTTCTATGCTTTGGGTACACGTATTCAATAGCCTAGCTATACCCATTTGCCTGTCACAATACCACTTTCAACATACAGAATTAAACGTCCATACTTGTATATACAAGGAAATATCGACTTTCTGTATTAATTGAATTTACCTGATGATATGCAGCCAACCAGTTCCAACATACTAATACAAATTCTGTTTATACATATGTACCTGTGCGACAGGTAAATATTACTGGTAAAGCAGAAGTTAAAATCACGCACATAACGAGACTGCAGTTTCAATATTATACTATTCAGATAGTCCCAACATAAAATATAAGGTCGATATACCAGTGTTGTGTAAGAGAGACTGGCCTCGACTATTCACGTACGCTTTCATAGCCCCATTGTATTCTCTGTTCGTAAACATGGCGGACGTCTTTTGGAACAGCAAATGTTTGTGTCTTTTGATGGTGTTTACCAACAAAATGTTTCAAGGTAATGCACTTCGTGTACCAGTAACATTGTCATTCTATCCTAAGTCTAAATAGACAGCGGTTATTTATATGTGACCAAGACTAAATTAATCTAAACTTTTGTACATTATGTGTAAATGTGTAAAAAAGAGATTGTAGAGATAAACTGCCAATACTGAATTCGTCTACAAATCGATTTTTTTTTTATCTGCTTTTCATGGGTATTGATAAAATATAGACTAATTTATAACAGATAATGTCCTTTATTTGGCTTAAATTTAAATGCCATTTGTTTCAGTAAATGCAGCCTGCACGTTTCCTAGCGATTTCCAGAACACATGGATGACCAATTCAAGAGGAACCTGGACAGTCAATAGTTCTCATATCAGTAACTTCCAGACCAAGATGACAACATCCGGTAACACGTTATATACAATGGCTTGTAACGAGGCCTTCAGTGGTTACTATGTACTGAAGTAAGTTGTCTGTCATTAAACCATTATTATGACAGCATACCATAACTCCGGTTATGCTGTCTACACGTACATACACTCTATTGATAAATCATATGGTGACATGTATTTCAAAGACGGAATGGGTTGTTTTTTTTCTTTCCCTGTCATAACCGTTACACGTGTTTCAATATCAGATATTCAACTTGCTTGGCAAAGAGAAAATTTTCTAACTGTAATGAAATGGATTATGTTAAAATATCACCAAAATCAAGGTTACCATTTCGTATCTTCTGAGGTATGAATTATTGTGGATCTCTCTTATATGAAGGACTGAGTGTTTTCTAATACTGTTACACAGGTCAGAAGAACTGTTTAACACCACCGAGAACGTCTATACATGCCTGTACATCGAGAAACAATCTTCTGCCAAATATACATACTCCCTTCTTACAAGTAAGTCTCTAAACTATAACAAATACAAGTATTTGTTCAGTCCATCTTTTGACAGATATGAACAGTTCCTTCTCACGTGCAAGCAAGTCTATCCAATCTTGTACAAATTTTTATATTCCGCCGAAAATAATGTGCTACAAAATCTAAATGGGCCCCCAACCCATACCATATCCCCCTTTTTTTATCTCTCAAAGTAAAATTATATTATAAATAACCCCCCCCCCCCCAAATCCTTAACCCTTTATGAGTGAGTCCCTGCCTTTTTGAAGCAAGCCACGTAGCCCGAAGTCAAATGTAACACAAGCTTAATACATTTAACATTATTTTTCAAAAGTTTCAAGAAATTTATACCTCAGTTTATGGTTTGCTCTTGTTATGGGATGCGAGTATGGTTATCATTAAGTCGTATTTATGTTATTTAGCTCTAAGTACTGTTGCCACGGATGTGACCGAGCGTGTCTCAACTTCCAGTACAGCGCTGACAGGCAGCGCCGTCTGTGATGATACAGAATACACAACATCCGGGGAGAGAACCTATGTTGCGTTGTTGTCAGGTAAGAAAGGACAAAAAAATGTACATGCTTGCGAACTGAGTGGTACTTAGCAGTCATATTTTTTTTTAACTTTTCACTAACATCAAATATAAGTGAGAATGTACATATCTGTTTAATTAGATTCCAATATGACCAGTAAAAGAGGGAATCAAAAGACACGTCAGCAGAAGGGTAATACAAGGCGGAAAAAATGGGATGGTCTCTCATTGCATGTGTACAAATTATGGTCAATAGAAATTTCCTAATACTCCTTAATATGATATCATTAAATCGTTCTCACTGATAAGTCACGAATACCACCAACGCTCTAGAGAGTATAGGTTTCCTGGTGGTTTCTGGTGTTCGGGCAAGCCATTATGCAACTGTACGGGTTATTACTTGTGAAAACTTTTATTATTTACTACGTCCGGTGACAGAATACCGTCAGAAAAAAGTAGACACTTTGACAAAGAGCTTAATAGCGGGACACTGAGGTCGTTAAATATTTTACAGAAAATCGAAAAAAATTAAACTATCGAAAAAAATCACATTTAAGGTGTTTGCATGCAAATATCAAAGAATTGTTCTATGGCTATAAGGCTATCATGACAATATGGATATTTCTTATGGAATGCAGGTTCGGAATCCCAGGGTAAGACAACATGTCCTGACGTAATACAAGGAATCTTCACATACATCGGCACGACTTGTAACTCTACCAACCTCGATATCTGTACCGACACAAGCACCCTGACATATAACACAGACACGTGTTCCGAGTCCATGATGTTCTCGCGTAAGTTTACAGACAACAGTTTAACAATGGAGTACAAAAATATCTTTATCATTCAACGCAAACATGCTTTACTGGGCCATACTCAATAAAACTGGTGAAGCGCTTTTCCATGAATAATTTGTTGTTCCAAATTCTTTATTTCGTTATAATGTTTGATGTGTTTATCTTTTTAATTATTGATTATTTATTGTGTATTTGTAAATTATTTGTTTACAGTTAACCTTGCCGAGTAAGTGTTTTTAGGAATTATGTATATTTTGTATTGTAGAGAACGGAACTCTTTACTGCGTGAATCACGTCTTGACAAGCGGGTATTATTACATCACCTTGTATAACAATGATCCTTCGACACCAGATGGCACCACCTACTTCCAGTTTTCATGTTTGGTAAGTATTTTCAAAATAACCTACATCATGGTAAAGAAATCATTATCTGAAGGCTGGATACCTGTTACATGAGGTTTTTTTTGGTTTTTTTTTTAAGTATTTTGCGGTTGCTGATGGAGGTCATTTTCTACTTCAGGGTTGACTACTTTGTCTTAAAGTATTCTATGGTGACAAAAATTGTGCTTGGCTGGTGGTAGTTTCAAACTTGCATTTCGTCTTCTACACACTATTTTTCACATCACAAAATTCGCTTCAATAGGTATTTATATAGATCTGACAATGACTTTATGCTTGTTAATACAGTGTAATACGCCGATATCACTTCAACATCAAATTTCCAGTTTTAAATAATCAGTTATTTGATAATACTATTACTGTATGGTGAATATATCAATCAGTGAAACGATATTCAAGGATAGAGACATTTTGAGGATATTTTGTCCATGACTGAACATATTGGGGACATTGTTTCCATGACTAAAAAACAGGCGGTCACTGTACTTACATTTTGGCAAATTTTACCCAAACAAGCTTATTTTGTACTTGCTTTATCGTGTTCTTAAAATCTGGTAAAGAAGTTCATCAAGTCAGACTCCACGAATAATTCATTATCGAATCACGGCGTCAATCATGCCATCAAAAATGTAGTGCAAGCGAAAATCTTCTAAGCGCCATATAAAGCACCCATTTTAAGTTTGTATATACAAATACAGATAACAAAGTATATACATATAATTTCTTTTTATAAAAGTCCAAGATAGTACGTTGAAATTCATTTTAGATTGAATCATGTACCGATTCCGACCAAACATCAGATGAGTATATTCCTAAGTAAACTTCCGTTGTTTCCGGTGTTGTCCAGTAAGGGTACTTGCCTTCAAGTCAGTTTTTTTATTATTCTATATTGCATATAGATATCCTTTATGATAGGTGTTGTACATTATAGGTATGTCGGTAGTAGGTTAAAACCTCCTTTATGATAGGTGTTGTACAGTATAGGTATGTCGGTAGTAGGTTAAAACCTCCTTTATGATAGGTGTTGTACAGTATAGGTATGTCGGTAGTAGGTTAAAACCTCCTTTATGATAGGTGTTGTACAGTATAGGTATGTCGGTAGTAGGTTAAAACCTCCTTTATGATAGGTGTTGTACAGTATAAGTATGTCGGTAGTAGGTTAAAACCTCCTTTATGATAGGTGTTGTACAGTATAAGTATGTCGGTAGTAGGTTAAAACCTCCTTTATGATAGGTGTTGTACAGTATAGGTATGTCGGTAGTAGGTTAAAACCTCCTTTATGATAGGTGATGTACAGTATCGGTATGTCGATAGTAGGTTAAAACCTCCTATATAATAGGTGTTGTACAGTATAAGTATGTCGGTAGTAGGTTAAAACCTCCTTTATGATAGGTGTTGTACGGTATATGTATGTCGGTAGTAGGTTAAAACCTCCTTTATGCTAGGTGTTGTACAGTATAGGTATGTCGGTAGTAGGTTAAAACCTCCTTTATGATAGGTGTTGTACAGTATAGGTATGTCGGTAGTAGGTTAAAACCTCCTTTATGATAGGTGTTGTACAGTATAGGTATGTCGGTAGTAGGTTAAAACCTCCTATATGATAGGTGTTGTACAGTATAGGTATGTCGGTAGTAGGTTAAAACCTCCTTTATGATAGGTGTTGTACAGTATAGGTATGTCGGTAGTAGGTTAAAACCTCCTTTATGATAGGTGTTGTACAGTATAGGTATGTCGGTAGTAGGTTAAAACCTCCTATATGATAGGTGTTGTACAGTATAGGTATGTCGGTAGTAGGTTAAAACCTCCTTTATGATATTGTCGGTATATGTATGTCGGTAGTAGGTTAAAACCTCCTTTATGATAGGTGTTGTACAGTATAGGTATGTCGGTAGTAGGTTAAAACCTCCTTTATGATAGGTGTTGTACAGTATAGGTATGTCGGTAGTAGGTTAAAACCTCCTTTATGATAGGTGTTGTACAGTATAGGTATGTCGGTAGTAGGTTAAAACCTCCTTTATGATAGGTGTTGTACAGTATCGGTATGTCGGTAGTAGGTTAAAACCTCCTTTACGATAGGTGTTGTACAGTATAGGTATGTCGGTAGTAGGTTAAAACCTCCTTTACGATAGGTGTTGTACAGTATAGGTATGTCGGTAGTAGGTTAAAACCACCTTTATGATAGGTGTTGTACAGTATCGGTATGTCGGTAGTAAAAACCTCCTTTATGATAGGTGTTGTACAGTATAGGTATGTCGGTAGTAGGTTAAAACCTCCTTTATGATAGGTGTTGTACAGTATAGGTATGTCGGTAGGTAGTACATGTCGGTAGTAAAAACCTCCTTTATGATAGGTGTTGTACAGTATAGGTATGTCGGTAGTAGGTTAAAACCTCCTTTATGATAGGTGTTGTACAGTATAGGTATGTCGGTAGTAGGTTAAAACCTCCTTTATGATAGGTGTTGTACATTATAGGTATGTCGGTAGTAGGTTAAAACCTCCTTTATGATAGGTGTTGTACAGTATAGGTATGTCGGTAGTAGGTTAAAACTTCCTTTATGGTTAAAGTAGGTTAAAACCTCCTTTATGATAGGTGTTGTAGAGTATAGGTATGTCGGTAGTAGGTTAAAACCTCCTTTATGATAGGTGTTGTACAGTATAGGTATGTCGGTAGTAGGTTAAAACCTCCTTTATGATAGGTGTTGTACAGTATAGGTATGTATGTCGGTAGTAGGTTAAAACCTCCTTTATGATAGGTGTTGTACAGTATAGGTATGTCGGTAGTAGGTTAAAACCTCCTTTATGATAGGTGTTGTACAGTATAGGTATGTCGGTAGTAGGTTAAAACCTCCTTTATGATAGGTGTTGTACAGTATAGGTATGTCGGTAGTAGGTTAAAACCTCCTTTATGATAGGTGTTGTACAGTATAGGTATGTCGGTAGTAGGTTAAAACCTCCTTTATGATAGGTGTTGTACAGTATAGGTATGTCGGTAGTAGGTTAAAACCTCCTTTATGATAGGTGTTGTACAGTATAGGTATGTCGGTAGTAGGTTAAAACCTCCTTTATGATAGGTGTTGTACAGTATAGGTATGTCGGTAGTAGGTTAAAACCTCCTTTATGATAGGTGTTGTACAGTATAGGTATGTCGGTAGTAGGTTAAAACCTCCTTTATGATAGGTGTTGTACAGTATAGGTATGTCGGTAGTAGGTTAAAACCTCCTTTATGATAGGTGTTGTACAGTATAGGTATGTCGGTAGTAGGTTAAAACCTCCTTTATGATAGGTGTTGTACAGTATAGGTATGTCGGTAGTAGGTTAAAACCTCCTTTATGATAGGTGTTGTACAGTATAGGTATGTCGGTAGTAGGTTAAAACCTCCTTTATGATAGGTGTTGTACAGTATAGGTATGTCGGTAGTAGGTTAAAACCTCCTTTATGATAGGTGTTGTACAGTATAGGTATGTCGGTAGTAGGTTAAAACCTCCTTTATGATAGGTGTTGTACAGTATAGGTATGTCGGTAGTAGGTTAAAACCTCCTTTATGATAGGTGTTGTACAGTATAGGTATGTCGGTAGTAGGTTAAAACCTCCTTTATGATAGGTGTTGTACAGTATAGGTATGTCGGTAGTAGGTTAAAACCTCCTTTATGATAGGTGTTGTACAGTATAGGTATGTCGGTATTAGGTTAAAACCTCCTTTATGATAGGTGTTGTACAGTATAGGTATGTCCTAGGTTAAAACCTCCTTTATGATGATAGGTGTTGTACATTATAGGTATGTCGGTAGTAGGTTAAAACCTCCTTTATGATAGGTGTTGTACAGTATAGGTATGTCCTCCTTTATGATAGGTGTTGTAGTATAGGTATAAAAAACCTCCTTTATGATAGGTGTTGTACAGTATAGGTATGTCGGTAGTAGGTTAAAACCTCCTTTATGTTAGGTGTTGTACAGTATAGGTATGTCGGTAGTAGGTTAAAACCTCCTTTATGATAGGTATTGTAGAGTATAGGTATGTCGGTAGTAGGTTAAAACCTCCTATATGATAGGTGTTCTACAGTATAGGTATGTCGGTAGTAGTAGTTAAAACCTCCTTTATGATAGGTGTTGTACAGTATAGGTATGTCGGTAGTAGGTTAAAACCTCCTTTATGATAGGTGTTGTACATTATAGGTATGTCGGTAGTAGGTTAAAACCTCCTTTATGATAGGTGTTGTACAGTATAGGTATGTCGGTAGTAGGTTAAAACCTCCTTTATGATAGGTGTTGTACAGTATAGGTATGTCGGTAGTAGGTTAAAACCTCCTTTATGATAGGTGTTGTACAGTATAGGTATGTCGGTAGTAGGTTAAAACCTCCTTTATGATAGGTGTTGTACAGTATAGGTATGTCGGTATTAGGTTAAAACCTCCTTTATGATAGGTGTTGTACAGTATAGGTATGTCGGTAGTAGGTTAAAACCTCCTTTATGATAGGTGTTGTACAGTATAGGTATGTCGGTAGTAGGTTAAAACCTCCTATATGATAGGTGTTGTACAGTATAGGTATGTCGGTAGTAGGTTAAAACCTCCTTTATGATAGGTGTTGTAGAGTATAGGTATGTCGGTAGTAGGTTAAAACCTCCTTTATGATAGGTGTTGTACGTTATCGGTATGTCGGTAGTAGGTTAAAACCTCCTTTATGTTAGGTGTTGTACAGTATAGGTATGTCGGTAGTAGGTTAAAACCTCCTTTATGATAGGTATTGTAGAGTATAGGTATGTCGGTAGTAGGTTAAAACCTCCTTTATGATAGGTGTTGCACATTATAGGTATGTCGGTAGTAGGTTAAAACCTCCTTTATGATAGGTGTTGCACATTATAGGTATGTCGGTAGTAGGTTAAAACCTCCTTTATGATAGGTGTTGTACAGTATAGGTATGTCGGTAGTAGGTTAAAACCTCCTTTATGATAGGTGTTGTACAGTATAGGTATGTCGGTAGTAGGTTA